TCCTGCATGTCACGTAAGTGGAACCAATAATCTCACCAAGCATAGTCTAATCCAAATAGTGGGCCGGATGCCGCTATGGTTCAGCAAGCCAAGGACGATTGCATTGAGCTGCTTGGTGCCGTGAGGAAGCAGTACGAGGAGTTCAAGCGCAATGGCCCGGGTCACCGCGATCAAGGACCTCGGCCCGGTGACCGCAATGGTCGGGCTGACAGCTATGGCGGCTACGGTAACTACGGCTCGCCACAGTCTCCTACCGCTGCCGGCCCCATGAGCCCCATGGCAGCCGCTCCCGGTGCACCCGGCGCTGTTCCTGGCGCTGCTCCTGGTGCTGACTACTCTGCTCAATGGGCACAGTACTACGGTGGACAAGATCCTTATGCGGCGTATGGAGGGTACCAAGCGTACGTGGCCATGTACTACCAGTACTATGGACAGGCGCCCGACGGTCAGGCTCCGCCGGGAACGGCAGGCAGCATGCCTCCTGGCTCGGCCGGGGTTCCTGGCGCAACTGCTCCTGGAACTCCCGGTGTCCCTGGTTACTCCGCTCCCGGGGCCCTAGGATACTCTGCCGGTCCACCTGGTGCTCCTGGTGCGCCTGGCCCTCCTGGAGCTCCGGGCTACGCTTCTGCACCCCCCGGCGCTCCTGGGGCAGCTCCTCCTCCACCGCCGCCGGGCACCGATGCACCTCCTCCCCCTCCTCCGCCCAGCGAGGCGCCACCCCCGCCCCCGCCAGGGTCTGGGCCTCCGGGCAGCTACGGCGCTGTAAGTGTGGACAACTTTGCGGTTCAGGATGCAGGCTAACGGCTATAGGTTCCTCCGCCTCCGGGGATGTAAGTCTGAGTTTTGCTTTTGCGGATGAGCAGTTGAACGACTGCAGCTTTGATCCACCGTAGTTCTTGTCCAGTCGTGCTCCATCAGTCCAGGAAGCAGGGTGTCGAGAGGCGATGGTCTTTCCGTCACAAATGTTGGACGGATGAGACGTTTTTAGTCAGTTAGCACTTATGTGGGTACAGAGGAATCAAGTCAAGCTGTCAAGCACGTTGTCTCGCTAACTGCAAGTGGAAGCTTGGATATGTGAAGCCCAGCTAGCCTCGGTTTCGCGTCTTTTTTTTTTCTCCGAGTGCGCAGCCGCAGCACCCAGGAAATCGATGATGCGGGTTGGCCAGTGGGTCACCCGCGCCATTTTACCATTTTACACTGACGGTGGGGGTTTTAGCGGACGCGCTTCGCCCGGCTGACGAGGGTCCCGCGGTGGTTTCGGCACTACTGAAGCAGGTCCACGGGCTAGTGGCACGGCTGATGACGAAATGGTTCGGCACGCAAGTTAATGTGCGGGGCGCGGTGGAGTAGCTTTAACGCGAAGGACGAATGGCTTTTTGAAGGAGGAGATGAGGTGCGATGGGATGGGACCAGAGATGAAGGAGTAGATAGTTTCATCGGTGGTGAGAAGTCTGCTGGGGGGGATGGATGCGAGGGAAGGGAGACGTCGGAAGTGAATGCGAATAAGGATTAAAGATTCATGGTCAGCGATTGGAGTAATGATAAGGTTAGCCGGCGCGTTTGACCGGGTGGCTCTCCGGATGCTTTTGCTTGACGAGTTACGGTACAGTAACCTTTGGCGGCTTGGATTTTTCGGCTTGTGTTGGACTTGGGACTTGGAGATGTTACAGTACAGTACGAAGAGTTTTGATGCCTCTTTGGATCAATCGGGTTGCTGGGCGCGGGGCTGCGTCATCTGCCCATGCTCCCCCCGCCCCCTCCTTCGCTATCTCTCTCCCCTCTCATCCCACATCAACCCCCCCATCTCCCCGCCGTCCAATCCACACCAGTCTACCTTGGAATGCAAACACCAGGTGCTCCATTTTAAATCCGTACTACCTCTTAGACCACACGCCATGAATTTCGCCTAGTCCTTTCTCTTCATATTCTTCTCCTCGACCGTTCTCCTCCCTCACCTCAACCTTCAACCGATCTCTACATTTCCATATCCACCGCGCGCAATGCTGTCCGAGTTGTGCTAAGGTAAGGACCCGACGCTCCCATCCATTCCGCGATCAAGACATCTCCAATGCGACGAGCTCGCCCGCTCGCCTGCAATAGCCTCAGGACCCATCTCGCTAACATGTGAAAGCCAACACCGAACCACCACATACCGCGCACACAACCCGCATTCCCCTCTCTTTAACTCACACCCACCTTCGCGCACGCAGCGTCTCGAACCCACCAGCTCCTCACAATGGCGGCCCGCCCCGCGCGCCGCTACCTCAAGCCAGCGCTGTACACCGTCGGCGTCGCTGCCGCCACAGGCAGCGCGCTGTACATGACCTACCGCCCCCGCGATATCCCAGGGCAAGACACGCAGTCGCCTTTGCCGGTCCTCGAGGACGGTGTATTCCAGCCGGCGCGCTTCCCGACCGTGCCGACGCGCGACGAGCAGATTAAGGCGCTCCAGCGCAGTGCTGTGGCTAACAGTGTGTCCGCGCGCGGATTTAAAAAGACCGTGAGCGATGTGTGGGGATTCCTAACTGGCGGTCGTGCTGAAGAGGTACAGGATGATGAGCCGTATGATCTGCTTGTAATTGGCGGCGGTGCTACTGGATCGGGTATTGCGCTTGATGCTGCTACGCGTGGTCTGAAGGTTGCCCTTGTAGAGCGTGATGACTTTAGCAGTGGCACGAGTTCCAAGAGTACTAAGCTGGTTCATGGTGGTGTGCGCTATCTTGAGAAGGCTGTGTGGGAACTGGATTACAGCCAGTCTGTATTCGAGTCTGTTCGGTGAGCGCTGCTGACGTTGTGGCCAGGTACAAGCTCGTCAAGGAGGCGCTGCGCGAACGCCGCTACTTCCTCGACACGGCGCCGCATCTGTCCCAGTGGCTGCCTATCATGATCCCACTTGACAGCTGGTGGACGGCTCCCTACTTCTGGGTGGGTACCAAGTTCTACGATCTCCTGGCTGGATCCGAGAACATCGAAAGCTCCTACTTCCTCACGCGGAGCAAGGCTCTCGACGCATTCCCCATGCTAAAGAAGGAGGGTCTTAAGGGTGCTCTGGTCTACTACGGTGAGTAACATGGATTGCTATAGGGTTTAGCTGATCAGTGTAAGATGGTGCCCACAATGACTCCCGCATGAACGTCTCGCTCGCCATGACAGCCGCGCTCTTCGGCGCTACCATCGTCAACCACATGGAAGTCACAAGCCTGACCAAAGACGAGTCCGGCCGTCTCAACGGTGCCACGGTGAAGGATCTAGTCGCAGAGAAGAACGGCAAGCCAGCCAAGGAAATTACAGTCCGCGCCCGCGGCGTCATCAACGCAACAGGCCCCTTCACCGACTCCATCCGCAAAATGGACGACGCCAGCGTCAAGGAAATCGTCGCCCCCAGCTCCGGCGTCCACGTCATCCTGCCCGGCTACTTCTCCCCATCGAACATGGGCCTGATTGATCCGAACACGTCCGATGGCCGCGTGATTTTCTTCCTCCCCTGGCAGGGCAACACGATCGCGGGCACCACCGACGCCCCCACGACCGTGACCCAGAACCCGATCGCCGGCGAAGAGGAAATCAACTGGATCCTGGATGAAATCCGCGGGTACTTGCAGCCTAACATCACGGTGCGACGCGACGACGTCCTCGCGGCGTGGTCTGGCATCCGCCCCCTGGTCCGCGACCCCAAGGCCAAGAAGACGGAGGGCCTGGTCCGGAACCACCTCATCACGACCTCGGAATCGGGGCTCGTGACCGTGGCCGGCGGGAAGTGGACCACGTACCGCGAAATGGCCGAGCAAACCGTCGACGAGGCCATCAAGGAATTCACCCTCGTCCCCAGGGCCCTCCCCTCGCCCCCGCTCATCTCCGGCAACGCCAACGCATCCGACGCGACGCTGTACGACGGGACGTGCCAAACGCACCGCGTTCGCCTGGTCGGCGCGCACGGCTTCAGCAAGACGCTTTTCATCAATTTGATCCAGCACTTTGGGCTCGAGACCGAGGTCGCGAAGCACCTGGCCACGGCCTACGGGGACCGGGCGTGGAGCGTGGCGGGCCTCTGCGCGCCGTCTGAGCTGCGCTATCCCGTGCGTGGGAAGCGCCTGGCCCCGCTGTATCCGTTCGTTGATGGCGAGGTGCGGTATGCGGTGCGGCATGAGAGTGCGCAGACGGCGGTGGATGTGCTGGCTCGGCGCACGAGACTGGCGTTTTTGAATGCGCAGGCGGCGCTCGAGGCCCTACCGGGGGTTATTGATCTCATGAGTGAGGAGTTGGGGTGGGATCGCAAGAGGCAGGAGAGGGAGTGGCGGGATAGTGTGCAGTTTCTGGCGAGTATGGGGTTGGCGAAGGGGAAGTTGGGGTTGAGCAGGAAGGATGTTGAGGCGGGGAAGGTCAAGGGTGAGTTCTTTGGGGTGTGATGTGAAAGGGGACTTGGGCTAATCCGCGCAGATGACACCGGGCTCTACGCCCGTGGCGACAAGCCGTCTGAGGTCCTGGACAGCGATTCGAAGATCACGCCGGGGCACAATCCAGTTATGGATCCGGAGAGCCCGGCGAATAAGTAGATCTCCCTCATACCACAAAGCCAGCTACTACGACCAGCGAAGGTTCTGTGCGGAAATGGGTACGGGTGCGAGATGGGGTTGATGTGTGTGTGTTGTACATGATGTGTTTGCGAATCGGGGGGGAACGGGGCTCAGGCCTCGGATGGGGTTGATTTACTGTGGCTCGCGATGTATCTCCCGGAAAGTGTTCTATGTAGGAAGATCTTCAGATTCCAGCTATGTAGGACCGGTCGGATGGGTAAAAGTTGTGTATACCTCCACTCTACCACTTGTGCTCCCAGGTTGTGATATTCGCCGTCCTTTCCCTTACACCCGCGCTCGGCCTCGGGACAGTAGCGACCATCTGCTTCTCTCCCTTCGCCCGGTGCCCGCACTCGGTAAAAAGGAGACCCGGATCCACCTCCACTTTCGTAGAGTAACGACAAAAAGCGCAAAAATAAACTCATCCTCCCCCGCCTGGGCTCGAACCAGGAACCTCCTGATTGCACTCGAGCTGGAAACTGTCATAACAGTCAGACGCGCTAGCCAATTGCGCCACGGAGGATGTGCTGTTGATGGCTCCAATTGCCGGCGGAAAGCCTATCCTAGGATGCGGAAAGGCGGGGGAAAAGTTGACAAGTAAAGGAGGGGAACGGGGGACGGGTGGAGTGAAGGAGGCGTGGGTTCGGTTTGACTGCTTGGTGGGATTGCACTTGGTATGACTTGGGCATGGGAGGTAGAGGTTGGAGTTCGATATTTTAGGCTGGTGATATCGTATCTACAGTACCAGACGGTAGCATCAACGAGGCTCACGAGTGATGCAGAAGGTCAACCAGTCAATCGAGCATACTCTACATTAGCATTTAATTTTCCACCGCAAGAAGCTCCAGCAGTCCATCCCGCCAAAACGCTCCAACTCCGCGCCATGAACCCATCTCAGCCCTTCCAGTTCGTACAATTCATCTTCATGTGGCGCCGGTCGCCCAGCCCATACAGTCCAGTTCCATCCCGCATATCCCGTCCCATCCATCACCGATCCCGTCTTCCATTTCATAAGTCCCAGAGAACCGCAATCCCGAAAATGTAAAATTCCACCTCATGACTATTCCTCCGCTGTCTGCCGTCCTACCCGCCCTCTAACAATCTCGTCGTCCGTCTCGCCCCCATTGCTCTTCATCCGCTGCATGGTATTGCTGCTCCCACTCCTAACGCTCCGAATCGACTCAGCGGCCCCCGTCTGACGCCGGTGCACCAAGACCTCAGCGCACGAAATGCTGTTACTCCTCTTCACCGACTTGCGCCGTGACATCTCGATAAACGAGTCATCAGAGTCGTCGTCCTCATCCGTCTCCAGCGCGTCGTCACCAGCGTACCCGTCGTCTTCCTCTGCATATCTTGCCGTCGCGCTGCTCGCGTCTGAGGGCAACGCTTCCGTCATCCAGTCAGCATTGTTCATGTGCGCCCGGTCGTCCGGCGGCAGCGACGACGCGGCAGATACGACGGAGGGAATCGAAGGGTTGGATGTGGACTGCGACATGTGGGATGCGAAATAATCCTCCGACGAGCTGGACACGATGGTCGATTTGGACTTCGCGTTTTGCGTATGTGTGCCGGCGCCGGGGTTGGCCGTCCTCCGCTGCGACTTTTCCAGCTGGTCATAGTACGCTTCATCATCCGGGCTCAAGGGGCAAGGCGGAAATACGCCTTCTTGCATCAGGAATGACGAAGGTCGCTTGCGGCTTGAGGAGGACGTCGGCCGTTCTGCAATGTCGTCTTCCAGCATCCGGCGCCTGATCTGCTGCTCCTTCGCCCGCTGAACCTTGTCCTCGGACGAATCCCGCGTGGGCACAACCCTGTAGAACCTGCGCTCTTCGCCCACGTCGTCTAGCAAAGGCAGATAAGCAGGCACGACCGACGTGCGATCCGGGTTAGGGCGGAATCGCCTACGAGATGAGACCGAAGAAATAGATGACTGACGCGACAAGCCTCCATCATCAGTGATAGCGTACACAGGTCGCAGCGACTCCGGCGACGTCAGCGAAGGCGGGCGAGACGAAATCGGGCTAGGAGCGGCGGAGCTCCCTGTCGTTGAGCCTTCTCGGAGGGAAGCAGGGGGGTGGACTTGACCTGCAGCAAGGGTGTTGCTGAAGGCGATGCTAGGTTCTGCATGAGGATCATCGCCGGCAGCTATGAGTTGGTCTACGGGCGAAGCCCTACCGTACGTGCTGAAGCCACGGTCTCTGCTTCGGACGCTTCTCATCATTTTCTTCGCGCCGCCCAAAATGCCACCCAGGCTGGAAGTCGACGGCATCTCGAGTGGCGTGCTGGGCATCGCGGGCAGCGTCGTTGCGCCAGAGCTGTTGTTTGCGATATCCGCAGGACGAATCGTACGGATGGATCCGGCGGTGGAAACGGCTGATTGGGCCCGGTCGGGTGGTTGTGGCCGTTGGGTGGAATGCGACAAGCGAGCGGTTTGGTTCTCAGCCAGCAGTGAGGGCGAGTCTGGTCTCGAGTCTGGTCCGATTAAGAAATCCGATCGATCGCGCATTTCGGGGCTGGTGGTGACGCTCTGGGAGAGCGGGTGTTCGGGCTCGCGAGAGGCTCTGAGTGCAAATATCACGTCGTCTGGCCTCAGGCTCGGGCGGCGGCCTTCCTGCCGACGGGCGTCCTGGCTGATGGTGCTACTTGAGGAGGCAGTGGACGTCGGCAAGTCTCCGGACGCTGTGGCGGAGCTTTTCGATCGTCGCCGGCTTTCAGCTCGGTTGCTTATGCTGAAGGCACCCTTAAACTTTTGAGCAATGCTTCTGACACGGTCAAGGACACCCAACTGTACGACGGCGACATCAATGTCCTGCTTCGAGACCTCGATCTTCTTTCCTTGCGTCATCCTGCCTGGGTCTGTTTCCTCCAGCCACCGTATCGGGTTCGGGAGACCTCGAAGCACCCAAGGATGGCGCTTGACTTCGATGAGTTTGATCCGCTGCCGTGGATCTTTGATGAGCAGCCTCTTCAACAGATCGTACAACTCGTCGTCGACCTCCTCGTGGTCCACCGTGCCAGCCGCCCGGTAATCTTTGTTCCGCGATGGATAGGAGCCGGCCTGCGGGTTGACTGCTTTTAGCCGAAGCCTTGGAATGTAGACATCCGTTTCTGCTATGAGGCGCATTAAGACGAAACTATTTCTCTCATGGAAGGGGACGCGCCCAAAAATTAGGCAATAAAGAGTCACCCCTAATGCCCAAACATCGATTTGGTTGGTAATCGGAGGCGGCTCAAGATCTTCGCAGTCCGTCTGACAGAGCTCGGGGGCATAGAAAGCAGGAGTTCCAACCGTCTTGGCCAGTTCTAGTGCCTCGTCCGTGTCATGCGCGTCCGACTCGGATTGGTCTCCGGCCCCCTCTTCACTCCTAGCTTTGCCTAGATACGAAACGCCGAAATCGGAAATTTTGATGTGCTCGTCCTTGGTTTGAAGCAGGTTCGCTGGTTTGATGTCACGATGTATAATGCCCTGATAGTGCAGATATTCCAGGCCCAAAACCGTGTCCCGGAACACTCTGCGAGCGGTATCGAGGGTGAGAAGTGGCACATGCATGAAATGGTCAGGAATGTATGGGCCCGAGTCCTCGAGATCTGCAGGGTGAGAGGCTCCGCTTCCGACGCTGGGCGTCTTCCAGCCGGGGTCGGAATCGTACGGACCGTACATGGTGCCTTCCAAGTCAGAGCTGGTTTCTCGAACGGGGTTTCTGTTCGACTCGGATTTGCCGTCGCGAGGATCAAAGTCATTTCGTACGGCGACGTCCTCATCTCCTCGGGTGCTTCTGTCGCGGTCTCTTTTGCGCTGCGACTGATAGTCGTCTTGGGTCGCAGTTGACATCGGATTGCCGTCATTGTAGTCTTCATCGTCAGTATGACCACCATGCTCAAGGCTCCAAGCCTGAGTTCCAATACCTGCGAGACGCTGTCTCTCCATGCTTCGCCATCTTGCACGATCTATGCGTTGCAGACGACGGCGACCATCCTCCAAGATGACTTCGTCCTCTATATTGGCAGCGTTATCGTCGAAGTTGCCAAGCGCCTCCCGTTCGTAACGCCGGTACTCAACAAGGCAAATCTCCTTCGGCGCTTCCGTCCTCCATTTGACTTCTCCCATTTCGATGAGCTCGAGGATGATGTATACCTTCTTCTTGGCCGGATCGTCAATCACTTCGAGCAGAGCGACAACGTTCGGGTGCCGCGCCTTTTTCAAAATCGCAATCTCTCTCTTGATCTTCGCTTCATGGTTCCCGCTACGACCCAGCCGCTTCCGCTTGGTGAAGCGCTCGACGATCTTGATCGCCACTTGTTCGTTGGTCTCCAAGTTACGCCCCAACTTGACTTTCCCATGCACGCCACGGCCAAGTTCATCCAGTATTTCATACTGGTTAATCAATTTGCGGCCCGAAATAGGATCAACATCGACTTCAGCGAGATGCGTCTCCTTGGGCATTTGGCGCTGGGTTGGATGCAGATATGGGCTAGGATAACCGGTCGCCGTCAGGTCATCTGCGGGGAAATTGGGCCGGAGTGGTGAGTGGGTTGGCGTGAAGGGCCCGGGGCTGCTCGCAGCCGACGGAACCTTTGAGCTGGGTTCTGTCGTTGCACGGGGGTCTTCGGGTCTGAAGGGCGAGGGCGAGTCGGCGATTGTGTTTATGTTATATGCCGTATGGGGTGACGGGTGGCTACTTCGGGTGCGCAGGTAGTGTGAAGCAGTTGGTGGGTGGAATTGGTGATGATGAGTAGCGTAGGCCTGTTGGAAGGGCTTTCGTGTTTGTAGCGGGAGATATTTGGCAACGGCAGAAGGTCCTACTGGCATGCCGGAAGTCGCCCCGAAGATGCTACCATTCCAATCGTGCCTTGAGGTACCAAAGGAGGAGTGATCGGCGGGGTTGGCCGGGAAATGGTGACCAAGCTTCCCGGTAAAGAAGGAAGCGGTTGATCTCGACGACCCATGAGCATTCACATACTCTCCGGATTCTCCATTGTGAGTCGTACGACCCGGATTTGGTTTGGATGAGAAGTAATCGCGATCTCGTAGTGGCTGATGTGCGGAGATCCGAGCAGCATTGGGTGGCTCCGGAGCGGACGGCATGTCCACGGGGATCCTAGGTGCGCCTTCCTGGGTCGCGACCGACGGTCGTCGTTCTGGAGGTGATGACAGTTCAATGCTACCAGTCGGGATTCCCGAACGAGGCCTCTTGCGACCTGATAGTCGCGATTCGGGAAAAGTTGGCGGTCTCGGGTGAGCTTCCGGCGTGTTCGGGGTGGAGGAGCGGGGACTTTGTGAAGCACCATGATCCGTCATTGTCGAATTGGCGATGGAGCCACCGCCTGATATCCAAGGCTGTTTGAGGCAAGCGGTAAAGCTACCAAGTCCCCATGAACACCTGTTGAAGCGTCCTCAACCGCAAATGAGACCAAGCGGTTGAGGGGACCGTATCATGCTGTGGAAGCGCAGTACGAGAAAGGGTGTGCGCGCGGGGAAAGGGCAGTGATCAATTGGAGCGACTATGTGGTAGAGATTGGACC